GCTGGGCTGTTGCAGAGTGCGTGTGTGTGCTCTATCCTCAGATTGCTTTCACACCAATGTGGCACATCGCACGTGCCAAGTGGCAGGTGGTAAGTGGCAAATGACACGTGGCACGGTGATTTCAGACCTATGTTACACATGTCGCGGTCACTCGGTTCACAAGATGACATCCTCGGAGCTTGGCGATGTTATTGGGTCCGAAGTCCTAATTTATCTTGTGATAATCATCTATCTGTCACTTGGAAGAATAAAGTGGATGACTTTGCGGCAGAATGTCAGGCAGACGTGTTTCAACATCTTGAAAAAAACCTGTCCAAATATTATGTTGATTGTTTCATTATCTGGAAGAGGGCATAGTTGTGCACGAGAGCAGGTACAAATACATTGTTTCTTCTTGCAAGTTCGTGTGTGGTTACCCTGTCAACCGAAACCGCATTGTCAGGTGTGTTTGACAGAATCTGTCTAGACTTTTTTGTATGTCATTCATCCAAATGATTTCCTTGTTATAACATATGTTTTATTATATAAGTTTGGATGTAAAAGCTCCATTAAATCGGACACACTGTCCAAGGTGACAGGTCACACATTAAAGAAAAACTACGGAAATTGCTTTTCCGTATATTCGTGTGGCGTGCCACATGGCATGCGACGTTTCACCTTGGCTTGAAAGCAGCCTCAGAACAAGGATGTACGTGGCACGTGTCAGGCCGTTTCATTCGGTTCTCAACTGGCATCATCAGAGAATGAGAATTGTTTTATAAATCCTAATCTTGTAACAATCATCTGTCTGTGTCTTTGAGGAATAAAGTGCATGACTTTAGGGGCAGACTTGTTACAATACCCCCAGCCCTCTTTGCCTAGGGTGTATGAGGGGTAAGTTTAGGGTGACCCCTGAGTTGTAACTACTGCAAATCAATATACAGTTGTCAGCAGCAGAAGCGGCAACTCTGTGTACATTATCGTACGGCGGACGACTTGAATGGACTAGAGCATATGATCATTCCGATACAAAATTCGAAACAAAGCATTGAATTAGTATCCTAAAAATACTCGTATGATTTTTTTCTCTCGCAAACAAAATATTAGACAATTCTACAATTGATAGTATTATCATTGTATTGAGGTGATTTATCACACAAATACTTGTATTTCACAACAGTTTGTACAAATGTTATGTTGATTGGTTCATTGACATAGTTGTGCACGAGAGTAAGCACATATCGCATTATTTCCTCCTGCACAGCCGCGCATGATTACCCTCATCCAAAGTCTTGGTCACTGGGCGACCGAGATGTTTTTGACAGAATCTGTCTAGACAGTTCAAAACTACTCTGTGTGTGCCATACATCCAAGACGTTTCCTTTTTACATCATGTTATGTGAATTTAACCCTTTTACATTAAATTGGCTAATAATAACTTTCGATGTGCCATTAAAATCGAACAACACTGTCCGAGGTCGCACACTAAAAAAACGGGCCAGTCCAATCTTGGTGTGACACACAGGTCGCGGCGTACTGTGCCACGTCTGTGTGAAAGGTTTCACATGTTTATATCCGTTCATTTTCAAGTGGCGTGCCACGTACAGCCTAACGCTTTGGTGTTTAGTCCCATTAGTCTTCGAAAGGTTCATATTGTTCAGGGAACGTGCACTTGACTATCTATAAAATGAATAAATAAATCTTACCGCGCTTATTTCCCCAGATATCACCTCGGACTTCTGGGTTGGGGGAGCCATACGAAACAGTACATGGACATGGGTGGACGGCAACCCCATTGAGCTGGGCACCCCCTACTGGTCCCTCAGGTATGACCCTGACTCTCCTCGTGCGGAAAAGTCGGGTCCCAAGAACGTAATAATTGAAATATCCTCGGAATTAAGTCTACCATTTTCTTCGACTTGCAATTCGATTACATAATTTGTTTGTTTTTTTTGTTTTTTTTTGTTTTTGTGTTTTTTGTTGTTGTTTTTTTTTGGGGGGGGTAAAAGTCAATGGAGAAAGCACACACGAGGGTTGTTATAAAGATTATCTAGGATCCTTTCCAAAACAGTTAACGAAACATGAGACTAAACTGGAAAAAAAATTCACATGCTCCTTCTCCTCCCTAGAACGAACCCTAATTGCCGGCATCGCAACCAGACCGACAGATACAATGAAGAATCTTGTAATCAGTACCTGCAACGACCACTGACTCCCGTCGTAGGTATGTGCGCCGCCCTTGCCTTCGAGAACTACTTCTACATGAGCGACGAAGACTGCATGACGAAGAAGAGCCCTTTGTGCGTCGCGGAAAAGGAACCTACTGTGAAGGTGTGAAGCATTCGCAAGCATGTTTTCCATAGAGTGCTGTTTCCTTCTTTCTTTCTTTTTTTAATGGTGAACTCCAATTTGTTTCCTGACATTCGCGACCAAGTTGTGAATAGAAGCAAGTTCGTGTTGTGATACTGCATTTGTGACTGATGTTTATATCAGCTGACTACAATAAGAAATTTTGAAATGATTATATTTTTCCCTAGATATTCCTTTCATAACTATTTGCATAATAAACGCACGCCCGCAAGCGAACACACACACATATACGTGTATGCGTATATTCACATACATACATACATACATATATATTTTTATATATGTGAGTGCATGTGTTCATTAAAAAATCTGCTCTTACATAAATAAAAGGCAAATGAATGTTTATAAAAAAAAAAGTAACTAGGCTATTAATAATTCATTTATTAGGGCTGCTACACATTATGACACATTATTGTGGCGAAAGAGGTAAAAATGCGTTAACGATTAGGATAAGTGGACAGAAAGAATGAAGAAAAGGAAAAGGAAAAGGAGAAGAAAAGAAGAAATTAGTTGAGGCGAGGGCTGATGTCCAAGGCAGGGGTGACCCTACATTGAGGCCCCCCCCCCCCCGGCAACAACGAGCAAAGGACTGGGGAGGGGAGTAGTTTTCTCCAGTGCTCATATCGCTGATCGTTTTGTACACTCTTGTCTCGCTTAGTATTTGAGTAATTCGATATTTCGATAGTTTTCTATATGTGTGGCATATCTGAACTTAGGTACGGTAGTTAGAATGACCATCATGAAATTAGTAATATATTTAATATCATTGTTGCTGTTGTCGTTGTACCACTTCCAATGTTATAATTACTATCATTATTACTGTTATTAAAAATACATGATCATTATTTTTTCACGATTGAACAAAATGACATTAATGAAAATAAAGGTATAATAATGTGACAAGGCAATAAAAAAAAATTGATAATGACAATACTGCTAACATTAATTAATAACAATAAGCATAAATACGAACTACATTTAACACTTTAATGTTTCAATATTATTTGTATTATAATATAGTATTTTTAAAAGTTTACGCTTGTTTTGTTTTGTTCATGAGAGAAAACGTAAAAGTAAGTCCTATTCAAGAATAACTTAATAAGAATGTTCGATACCGTTTTATAGGATTATTCCTTACCATTGGTAAATTATGAATATATATTACCTTACTATACTAAAATTATGAAATGTATACAAGATAAAAATAAGGTTTCCTCTTCTGAGATATAACATATCTATGCATTTTTATAACTTAGTTTTATGCTATGGCTTCATAATTTTCATTCACAAATATGAGTTTTGTCATTTTTTGATTACCATATGTACGTCTGATTTTCCTGTTTTACACTACAGAAATAGAGAGAGGCATACAGATTTTAGTGTACGTCTGTAAGCACGTGTGTGTGCGTGAGCGAGTGCGTGTCTTAGGTATGTGTATGCGTCCGCCCGTATGTGTTTGCACTTGTATACCTGTGTCTGTATTACTCCTTTGTAATAGACCGCGTGATCCACCTCGTTTACATTTTCATGACCGAGATATAAACACTAGCATTTTATTCATCTAAGTGCCTTTTTAACTTAATTTAATTTCCATCTTATATATATATATATATATATATATATATATATATATATATATATATATATACATGTGTGTGTATAGAGCACTGAACTCCGCCCTCGTGGTCCCGGGTTCAATTCCCCGTCGCGGCGGTCGTAAAAATGCCTGCGTTCTGACTGCTTGCTCGAGCCCTAGAAAACGACATGTCGGTTTGATAAGTCGAACGCAGGTGTCGTAGGGGAAGTCACCGCCGTGGCACAAGTGGTAGCGCGCCGAACCGCGGTTGATTAGGAAGGGCATTCAATCAGGCAAGGGTGACACCGCCATATAACCTCTCAATACTGAATTGAGAGAGGCCTATGTCCTGCAGTGGAATGAATGGCTGTTGAAAAAAAAAAAATGTATATATATATATATATATATATATATATATATATATATATATATATATATATATGTGTATGTATATGTGTGTGTGTGTGTATGTATGTATTACATACACACACATATATAATCTCCGTCTATACTGTTATCGTGTTTCGGTCTTCTTTCAATTATCAAACTGCCTCAGCTACTTAACTGCCAGTTTCAGCCTTTCACGCCAGTAGGAGGGACTTGCGATACCTGTCGTGTTGTCACAGTTGGGGGAACATCAGTTTACCTTGAGCTGGCTCAGTGTGATTTCGTAGTGGCATGTTCTCAGAGTGTGTATATTTATATAGAAACTGATGTTTATTCACAATGTTTTCTGGTGTTTGCAGAATGGATTTAGTTTCGGTATAGGTTGTTTTGACTAGCCTTGTTTAATCCGGAAAAAAATATATGCATGTGATAGAGCAAATAAGTCTAAGAAACTTATCTTCTATGAACTTCCGTCGCAAATCAGAAATAACGAAGTTATTGGACACGCAAGTGTCACAGAGCCCGGAATGAAAATCTCAATATTCTAAATATCGCCATCAGATATCCTTTCCTACTTTTGTAAACAAAAACAATGATGCCGTTTTATGTTGTTTAATGTATTGTAATACTTTCATTTCGTTATTAGATAAATTCTGCATAAACTTACATGAAGGTGACTTTGTTTCTGCATAAAAAATATCTGACAATACACGAGTAATACCCAAATCTTTGCTCAATATGGAACTAAGGTGCGTAGGGTGTCATCCCCATTACTATAGAGTTATGTCTGATTATTTTGAAAAAAAATAACGCTATAGAGTTCCTGAGGGCACACGATGTTTTGCCAAGAGCGGTAAGTTGCCCACATTGTGAATTACCTTGCAAATATCGTGAAGATCGACATGTGGTATTGTGGCAGATGGAAAAAAATAGCTAAGACAAAATGGCGTTGAAGTTGCGTTTTCTCGACCAGCGATTACACAGGCACGTTTCTGCAGGGGACACGTTTGGAACCTTTTAAAGTAGTTTTGTTTGTGAATCACTGGCTACAAAAACATTGGGATCATGCACAAATTATTAAATGTATTAGTATTTCAAAGCCAACTAGCGTAGATTAGAGAAGTTTTTGTTCTAAAGTAACCGAATATTGGTTACAAAATCAAAATTCAATAGGAGGTGCTGTTGTAATAGTTGAGATCGACGAGACGCTGCTCGTGCGCCGAAAGTATAATAGGGACAGACAGTTGAGCAAGGTGTGGGTCTTTGGGGTATTGAGCGTGAGAGTAAGAAGTAATTCATTGTGCCATTAGTTGGCACTGATCGCAGTGCAGACACGCTCATACCCCTCATTAAGAAGTATATAAAGCCAGACAGTGTGATATACAGTGATGGATGAGTTGCCTACCGTAACCTACAGCAACATGGTTACAAAATATTGAGAGGTTGTGGAGGGACCTAAAGGAATGGGTCAAGCGGCCAGGTATTAGGGCCGCTTACATATCGCAATACCTGGCCCGTTATTTGTTCATAAAAGACCATGAACAGTCACTCATCCATTCCTTTTTAGTACAAGAGGCAGAGCTTTACCCGCCGCAAGGCGGAAAAGAAAGATCCATCCAGTCTCCTGCCCCAGTTCCTCTAGATGATAGTTCTTCAGAGAGCGAATAAAATCAGGACTCACAATGGGAATATAATTACCTGATTATGAGTGCATATGGTCCCCCAAGAAAAAAATATATATCGTAATACAAAACAAATAACATTTTTTCGGAAAACTTTCCGAACATATCAACCAAGAGTACAGTAAAATAAGTATGTGGAATGGATACCTTTACGAAAACTAAGGCACTCTTCATCTATGGTAAAAAGTGCGCAAATCTAAAATAAGGGAGATATAGGACAGAGAAGAGAGAAGCTCGACCCTTCATTTTCTAAGTCCCCTTCCATGTTTACCTTGCGAGACCAAAACAATTGTGACGCGTAACTCATTACTGCGATCCAGCAAGTAGTTCATGTATTGCTACGCGCTTGTGAGAACGCTTATTTTATTATTACTAGCGTCTGATTATCTGAATTCATGTATGTAATGCATTCTTCTTGTATTATTATACTTCTCTTGCGTCTTTTGGTAATTATTTACGTTATTCTGTACAATAACCCTTTGCGCATGCGCGTTTTCACCGGGAGATTTGACAGGTCGACCCATTGCCATTCGCTCAGAAACACCGGTGAAAAATGTTTCATTTCAAGTGCTGTGTTGACATCGGGTTATTTTTAAAACTATATTGTGGATATACAGGACAAATAGACATTATTCTCAATCACAAGTCTGATATTTAAGCCCAACAAGTGCCCCAAATGCCGAAAAAAGTGATTAGAAACCAAGTATTTCTGACCATGGACGGAAGCGCACAATAGTTCGGTTTTTCGTTTTATAAAGGTATGTGGTATATTACAACGGGGGTCCAGGGGGCGTAGCCCCCTGGCTAGGCGCATTTAACACCATGGGGGTCCAGGGGGCAAAGCCCCCTGACTAGGGAATGTATAGATCGTAGTGTATAAATCCCACAGGGTTAGGTTAGGTTAGGTTGGTTCATTGGTTAGGACGCATTGTACGATTACCACAGGGGATCTGGATTATGTGAAATCCCGTAGATTTTTACCGAACGATGGGTTTGGTTCCCGTAGAGTTTTTCGAAATTTGGCTTCGGCCCGTAGACTTTGAAAGATGGCGGCGATGTCCGTAGAGTTTCATTGTCCGATGTTAAGCGTTTTTTGTGCTTGTTTTACACATTTCTGCTCTCTATTTTGCTTATTTCAGCCTGTTTTACCCCGTAATTTCCCTGATCTACTTCATGCCCTCCCCTGCAAGATTGTCGGCTGGAGAATCCGACGGAGAATATCATCAGATTCGTTCTCGTCACACGAGAACAAATCTGATGATATAAACATTGTCAGGGAAGACCCAGTTGTCATTTTTGGAAAATTAACCATTTTTTCTTCTGAAATAGCGATAATAAATTATTAATGTCTCTGTAACGACCAATTATAGACAACTTAGCGGTTATACGGTGTTACAGACAGAAATTCTAGCAAATGAAAACTTCAGACAATGAAAAATCGTTTTTTCGGAAAGCCCTGCCCCCGCCCTTGAAAAACGTCCAGTGTGTATCTGTCCAGTGTTCAAG